GTTGAGCTGTTTCTCTCTTGTTTGAAAGACTTTTGTCTTGTGTAGTGGCTGACTTTTGGGTTTTCCAAGAAAATTACTAAAAAAGGAAATTTTTAGGGAATTTTTTGATCAGCGGAAAGAGTTTTTTTTTTTGTTTTTTAGAACTGAACTGCAATTTTATTTTATTTTATTTTTTCCTTTTTATGTAATGTATTTACACAGTTTTAGATATTCTCTTTTTCTTTTATTTTTTTTTTTCCTCTTTTATAGTTTCTTGAATTCAATTCCTTAAAGGATAATAAGTAGTGATAACCTGCTAGAAATAATGAGTAAATTAAGAGAATATTCATTCAAAATCTATCATAGAGCAAAATATTATCCTTGAGATTGCACTTAGAGATTAAACTCTTTTGAGAATTGAAAGCTATTGATGAGTGTATCAGTATAAATCTTTTGGTTTGACCATTATGCAATTGTTCTATATATCTTTATCAGTTTTTATATGACTAATAAATATATATTGCTGGTCTGATCACAGATTAAAAAAAATAAAAAATAAAAATAAAAGTTTATTTATATTTTAGAAATCAATATATTTTATATTAATTAATTAGATTTAATAAGGATTATACTTTCTAAAAATTTAAAATAAAATTAATAAATATTCTTAAAAATTATAAAAATAAAAGTTTTAAGAAGATTTAAATAGTTGATAAAAAAATTATGTTTTTTTTATTGCAAAAAACTTATATTCTAACTTATTTAAAGATAATAAGATTTTTAGATACTTTATAATTATTATTTTTTTTTTTTAGAAACTTTTATATAATTGATAGTAAAAATGTTACTTAAATTTCTTGATTATTAGAAATTAAGTTTTTGATTAAAAATAATAAAAATAAGAAAAAAGATTAGTAGTGAATCTTGAAAATACTTTTTAAGTTGTTTTAAGAATAATAATAAGACTTTATTAATCAAAAAGTTAAAAGATTTTTATTAAACATTTTTTATATATAATTAAAAGATTAACTATTAATCAAAAGTTCTAAATTTTTATATATTATATTAAAAAATTAATAGTTATATTATTATATTAAACTTATTATTTTTTTAATCAATTGATCAACTTTTTTTACTAATTTTTTGATTACATACTAAAAAGATGTTCACAAGAAATTTTTATACTTCTTGACTAATAAAATTTTAATACTTTTATTAAATCAATCTGAATAAGTCTTTAGAAATCATTCTTACTTTTTCTTTTCATTTGTTAATACTTCTCTTCAATAAAAAATATATCTTCTGAAACCTAAAAATTATAAAATATCTTTTTTATCAATAGCAAGAAAGTTCTGAAAGGAAAAAAAACTACTGTTTTATTATTAATTCAATATATAGAGAAATATTATAAAGCTTGTTGTATAATAAGAAAATTATTGTGAATATATTACAACCTATTCTCTGATTACTTTCTTGGATTCTAATAATCCTCTTTCTCAATTTTTTCTAAGAAATTTTATTTATTTTAGTTTAGCCCTGAATTTTAAGTAACACAAAATTTTTTATAAGTTGCTTGGTCCAGCAAAGACATATCAGTAAAAAAAGATAAACAAGTTTTGATTAATCACATCATGTATTTAAATATATTTTCTTGATTCTATAAAAACCTTGAATCTATTATAAGTTATATGTTTATAGTATAAATAGATACAGAATACAGATTATCTCTTATATTTTATTAAGTAAAAGAAAAAAAATATAGTTATCTCCTTACCTTAACAAGAAAGACAAATAAAGATAAGACTTAAGGAAACATGAAATGAAGATAATACTTTAAGAATATTATATCTACCTTTTATTAGTATATAATATATAAGAAATCAAAAATATCTTTAGATTATTTATATCTAATAGTTAAATTAATATATAGTTACTAGAATTTAGCTTGATTAGTATATTATATATTTATTAAACAATGATTTGATTTTTATAGGTAGTAGTACTTTGGAAAAAACAAAATAATATTTATTAAGTCCAATAAAATATATATCAAAAGTATTAAAATTTTTCTTTCTAGATTGAAATTATTACAATGATAAAAAAAGACAAATTATTGGATGATAGAACCATTCTCTCTCAATTTCTTTTTCTATATTTTAAAGTTTTCTCAAAAATCTTTTGATTTATTGTCATATAAAAAAATACCTATAACAATTCTATATTGAATAAGGTATTGTATAATAGAAATAAGGCAAAAATTGAAAGACAATTATTGATTAGTAATAAAATTATTTTCCCTTTTTCTTTTGATGCCTCTTTAGTAATGTAGAATTATTATTCCTGTTTAAGCTTATATGATATTCTTCAAATTTGTATTTCTTCTTTGAAGTAGAATAGAAAATACAAATAGTAATAAACTCTGATCCAATATACACTTCTTCTTCTTTGTTTTTCCTTTTACATTTGAAATTTATTTATAAGCACTAATCAGGTTCTAGATTAGTTCTCTTTTGTCTAAAAGAGGTAACTTAGTTACAAGATAATGTACTTCTTCCAGAAGTTTTTCTATTATAACACTTTATTGCTTAGATAGCTTGGATATATAGGATTAAAGGTCAAAGAAGTCAGGCCAAGTTCAGAATTTTTGCTGTGGTCACGTGACCAAAGATCATGACATGACCGAAGCTTATGCGAAACAATCAATTGCCTACTATCACTATACTCCTTACAAGATAAAAGAATGTGTAAACAATCCATTTATATCAAAAAGGTAAAAAACTATGAACTGAGGTAATAGAAAATTAGCTGACCACGAAGCAATTTATGCATGATATAATACTAGAATAGCCATAGTGATTATGTAATAGCTCTATGTGTAAAAATGTATAAATATAACTTCTTTCAATGACTTAATAAAATGACGAATCTTAAGACAAATCTTTTGGATAGATTGTTATAACAATAAAGTTATAAGTAGTTTTAAGGAAAACTATCTTGAGACTCATTCAAATATTTTTACATCTCTGTCTTGATTTTTGTGTGTGTGATAAAAGGATGGACTCTTCTATTCACAAGTTATGTAAGCTTTTGGTCATTAGCAACAGACTCACCGATCAACCTGCTAAAAAAGTTAAAAAAAGTTTCCTTCTCTGTTTTCTAAAGTTTCAATAATGTTTTGGCTTTGTCAGCAAAAAAAAAAAAAAATTTTTCAATTAATCAGTAGAAATTAAAATTCTATTAAAATTTTTATTATAAATTTTATTTTTAAAAACAATTTTATTTTTAAAAAACAATAGTCAAAAAATTGATATTTAAGCCGTTCTTTATTTTTTAAAACGATATGGCAATAACCACATTAAGTTTTGTATATTAATGTCTAAGGTTCATAAGTGTTTTTATTGATATTTTTATTTTCTTGATCTAAGAACGTAAAAATAATTTTTTTTTTTTACAAAAATTCAATGCGTCGAAAACATACAAGACAATGTTTTGTGAAGAATGAAATTTTAGACATAATATATTTACTTCTAGTCTCTATGTTACTATATGAATGAATCCTATAACGAGACTCAATCCAATACCCATAATCCCTTGATTTCCCCTTAAGGAAATACCAGAATTCGTAGATGAACTTCCGACGCTATCTTCTGGTAAAGAAGAAACAACAGCATCTACTACTACAACGGTTGAAGGTGGTACTACAGTAGAAAATATAGTTTCGTCGCCATGAGCATCCGTGGTCGTCAATTGTGTGGTAAACCCTGACGCAACGTGAGTTTCGGTTGAAAGAACTGTGGTGAATGAGGAAGTTTTACCCGAAACAGTGCCTATATTTGAAGGTTCTATGGTTACTACTTGGGTGAGAGTTGAAAAGGTGTTGGTGCTGGAGCTAATCCCTGTGTTTGTGTTCGGACTTATATTTTTTGTTCTGTGGGAAAGAATAAAAAAAATTTTTTTTAATTTGCATTAAAATCTGCGAATACGTAATAACTCGTAATACTAACGATGCTATTTTAGAATCGGAAGTGCTAGAAGTGGGTGTTGACGTTTCTGTGTCGGTGGGAGATGAAGTGACTGTTGAGGGATCTGCAGAAGTCAGTGAAGAAATGGAATGAATAAATGATTTTGTCGGGGTAGATAGATCTGAAGCGTTGGTAGATGACACTATTGATGGAGTTCGAGTTGTTAAAGTCGTCATAATTATCGTACCAGAAGGTATTGAAGAGCTCGTTATCTCAACAGATGGAGACGCTGAAGAAACAATAGAGACAGAAGAAGTAGAGGAAATAGAAGAAACGGCTGGTGTCGTTAAATCCTGTGCTGTCCCACTAGCGGAATTTGAAATCGGTATGGTAGTGATCGCGGAGACAAAGAACGCAAAAATAAAGACTAAGATCGTAAGTTTGCGTGTCCATGAAGTTTTAGATTTCATCGTAGAGTCTGTATACAAGCTTGAGTATAGAATATATTACAATATAGTATACAGTATAGTAGTTTTTTTTTTTTTTTTTTTTTTGTAAATTAGGCGCAGTGGTCCAGCAACAGCGATATGGAATGTTTCTTTGATCAACAAAGAGAAATTCAAAAACTTAACACCAGCAGTTTTGGGATCAAAATTAAAACTGGCAAATATTTATAAGAATCATCGCAAAGACACATCTCCAAAGGGAACCAATAAGATAAGATATGCCCTAATTCTGATGTTATTGTGCCAAATCTTTGTCAATATAACAAGAGGCTTGAAACGTAAGGAAACACTTGCAAAAACAATCTAAATACATAACTAAATAGGAATTCATAACGTTTACATCTCCTGCATTTAATCACTTTGTTTACATATTGTATGGTTGTACACATATCTATATTTGTTATTTTTGACATTAATACCGTATGTGGGTTTTCTCTTGCTATACTTTTATGTCGTTTCTTGTTAACCAAGGTCATACAATGTTTGAATATTTTTCATAGTACTATCGAATTGAATAATTAAATCTGATTATCTTATATTCTGAATGCTTGCTGGTTTTCTAGAATCATCAAATCCGTTAAGTGTATGTTATTTAAACTTTGTGCAATCCTTCTATTTATAAATATTCCAAAACTTTAGTCATACAGCAAGTCATGGCGATAGGGAATTGCGATTATTATATTCTTGAAATTCTCAAACAAAATTTTTATTTTATATTAGCCACTCATTGAACTTTCCTACAACAGCATTATTATTACTGAACTTTTTTCGCAATCACAGGTGCGTTTTTTTACTCTAAAGAGTGAACTTATTTATTTGACCGTTAACAAAGTAAAAAAAAAATTTTTCCATTTAAATATAAATTTTATGAAAAAAAAAAAAACAAGAGAGAAAGAAAATCATTAGTTATCTAAATTGATTTTTTTTTTTAAATGATATTGATTTATGTTAAAATATAATTTACTTAATTTTATTTTTTTTAAATAAATACTGTATATGCGTAATTAAGATAATTATTCTGAAGTTACAAAAAATATAATTAAAACTTTAATAATCTTTTTTAAATATGTAATTCTTAATAAAACTTCTTGTTTTTAAAATATATATTTTTAAGTAATCTTTTTTTTAAATATTGTTATAAACAAGGATTATAATTTTAAATTCAAATTTGAATTGATCAAATCAAATTATAAATTTTTTATTTATTCAAATTTAGATTTCAAATTTTAAAATTTGATTACATTTAAATCAAATTTATAATTAATTTATTTTAAGAATTTTTTAAAATTTTAAAAAACTTTGATATTCTATAATATTTATATAAAAATTTAAAAATTGTTAATTATTTGATTTAATCTATAAATAATAAATTGTTTATTTTATTTAATAAATTTATTTATTAAAATAATTTTAATAAAAATTTTTTATTTGTAATATATTAGAAAAAATTAATTAAAAATATTTTTAAAAAATTTTCTAAAATAATCCTATTTTTTATATTTTAAAAATATAAATATAAATTTTTATTTTATTTTATTTCAAAATTATGAATAAAAATTATAGCCCAATATTTGTTTTTTGTTTTTATCTACTATTATATTAATTATATATACTTTATTAAACATAATGCAGACTATACTATTTATGGTGTTTATAAAGCTAAAATATCAACTAACTCACTCATTTTAGTTTATTTTAAAATCATAAGTATAATTTTAGAAGTGATTTATCATTTTGTTTATAGTTTAAATTAATACTTTTCTATTATAAATATTATTACCTATAGTATACTATTGTAGATTACTAATCAAAGTTTTAACTAAGTCTAAAACCTAACTATTTTATATCACTTTAACTTCTATTATTATTATTATAGTTAAATCTTTTCTTAAGCATTTTTCTTTAGTTTTTTTTCTTTTGTCTTTTGAATTTCTTATTTTTCTTGCTAAATAAAACTTTGTAAGTTTTTTATTTTATCTTTTCAAAGAATTCCTTAAGCTTTTTTCTATTTTATTATTTGTTCACATCCTTTATTCCACATTTCATTTCTAAAGTAGTTCAAAATCTTCTTTTGATAATAAAGTATCCATTTTCTAACTATGATTTTTATTTTTTTTTTTCTATATTATAGTTCTCCAACTTTTATTAATAGATTTCTTTTGATCAACTCTAAAAGAAAACTAACTGAGTTTTGACTTTTTTCAGATATTCTTCTTATAAGCTTTATTGACCATACTTCTATTTTTCCCATTTCTTTTTTATAAACTATTGAAATGTTATTGTGTTTTTTCTAGACTTGATCTTTTTGTTTCTGTTTCTCTTTATTAAATTCTTGATATACTATTTCTATTCCTCTTGATCAAACCTTTTTCATAATATTTTTATATCTTGAATATTCTATAAGATGTTCTATTGTTTCCTTCTACTCTTTATATACTAAACAGTCATCTTTTTTATATAGATCTGATCTTCTTGTCATTAATTTAATCATTGTAAATAATTAATTCTTGATTAATTTAATCAAAAAATTTTTCTGCTATAAGCTTTTAAAACAGATATTCCACATATATTCTTTCTTTAATCATTATTATATTATGTTTTATAAATAAATTTGTTGATCTTCTATTAGGAGATTCTATTTGTCCTTGATTTAGTTTTATTGTGATCAACAGTATATTATTGGTTTATTATTTATTTTTTTTTATAAATTACCTTATGAAACCATCCAAAGTTATATTCTATTATTTTACTTTTATAATGATCTTATCAGATTTAAGATCCTTCTATAACTTATCTGTTATATCATTTTCCTTGATATTAATATGTACCTTAACTTTAACCAACCTTAATTTTATGTTTTTTGTTTTGATAATATTTAATATTTTAGCTCAAAATAATTAGTTTTTTTTTTTAAACTATCTTCTGTAAATTATTTTTGAACTATCTTTTTTCAAGTTATTTTATTTAGACATATATATTTAATTATCTATATATATTTAGACCAAGTTTTCTACTGGTATTATCAATAAAATTGTAACTATTGCTATTGGTTTTATTTTTGTAAACAATGGCAATTTTGTATCCCTGTTTGAAATCTACTTTCTTGTCCTTTACAGTTTGTTTAAATTTATGTTATTTCTATTTTGACTATTTCTTTTCCATAATTTATTAGATAATCATCTAAGTAAAACTATTGTATCTCTTGTTCCTCTAGATTTTTTTTTAGAATTTCTTTTAAATAGTTTTAATAGATCTCTTCTTGAATATATTTTTCAATAATTCTTGTTTTTCATTATTCAATTATTACCGGTAATATTTGGTTTTCAAGTTTTTAAAATATTTTAATGTACTAAATCTTGTTTGCTATTTTATTTTTCAATATTTCTTTTCTTATTAAAATCTTTAGATCTTTAATTATTCATGTCAATTTGTATTTGTTCAAGAAAAGAATCTCATGAATTATATTTTTTTTATATTTATGATATATAAACCATTTGTGAATATATTTTTTATATATTCCCTATATTGAGATAAAGTTATTTTTTGATTTTCTGTCAGTTTTTCACAACTAAAATATTCTAGTTTCTTTTTTGATCTTGAAATTTTTTTTATGTTAATTTTTTTAAACTTTTATTTAGAATACACCAGATTTCTTATCTTTTGTTTCTACTTAGATTGAGTTTTAAATAGTTAGGTTTCAATAAAATATTGTTATTATACTATTTTCCAATAATTTCCTCTATTGTTTTTGATAATACACTAATTGAAAAATATTTATTTGACATAATGCCATTCATGTAACATTCATCAAAAAAATAAATAATTGGGTATATTAATGACATAAATAAAGCATCAATCAATTTTTACTATATAATTTGACATATAATTTAGCATAAATAAATTATCAATCAATTTCTACTATATTATTTGACATTATTTGCTATATAATTTACACCATTTTTATTATATATTTTATTAAAATTTTTCTCAAAAAATCATTAAACATTTATCAGAATTTCAATTTTATCAAAATTTGTATATTTGCCAAATTTTAATTATATATTATATTTATTATTTAAAGAAATTACAGCTAAATATTCATGAGAGTCTTGTTAATTTGAGGTTCTATATCTAAATATGGAATAAATCAATCAAAAATATCATAAATAAGGATTATATATTTACGTCTAACTTGATAAAATTCAATATTTCACAATTCAACATTCATATTATTTTCAGATTCAAAATAAAATCTATTTTCTACCTAATTAACCAGTTTATATTACTAAATAAAGGTCAATCAATATTTAATAACATTATTCAAAAAGTTTATTGAATGTGTAAAGAATAATTGAACTTGTTTTGGATATAAATTAACACTTCCATTGTGATTAATGAATCTAACCAATATAAATGAACCCTTAATATTTTGTAAGTAAATAACAAAATTGAATATTTTACTGCCAATTTGATATTTATTATATGATCTACTCTATTCTAAATAATTATAAAATTTTTATTATTTTTTATAAATAGTCTTCAAAAGTCCATAGTTTTATAAGATATCTCATAATATTTGACTAATAGATCTAATATTTCAATAGATACTTCTAAATTTGATTTTTTTAGGTACAAAAGTTCACCTGGAAAATTTTCAGATCCATTGATTATTGTTTCATAAATATTACAGTTATATATGTTGTTTAAAAATTGATATAACTCATCAACTGAAAACTAATCTAGTACAAAAGTTAAGTCAATATTTGATCTATTATTTAAAATTTCAAGCCCCTAGTTATTAGAATAGAATATAATTAGATTAATAATTCAATGTTTATTTATTAATTTTTATATTAATTT